GACTGACCGTTGCTTCTTTGCAGCTTTGTTTTGTTGCAAGATCTCTGCCTGTCTTCTTCTCATTGTCCTGACATTTCAGCTATTTCTCTTCTTCACTGTCACATTTCTTGTCATCTTCCACCTTCAATTTGAATCTTCTACCTTTCTTCTGATAAATCTATAATGTATACCCCGACGCCCCACCACACATGGAGAGAGACAGACAGACTTGAAAGAGGGAGGGAGGGAGGGAGGGAGGAAGAGAAAGAAATTGTTTTAAAGAAGAACTGCCATTTTCTTTGTTTGCCTCACTGTGAACTCTTTATCAGTTGTCTGGCTGCCAGGATTGAGAAAGTACTGGAATGTCTGTCACTTTTGGAACAATTGTGAACCAACCTGAGAGGAACTGCTTGAACCTTCCATAAATTTTGCTTCTAACAAAAAATACTTGGGGTGGTAGAAATAGTGATGGAAGAGTTGTCATCTTCCAGACTTTTGTATGTGAGCTTCTTCCCTCATATATATTTGTATTCCTTGGGAAGCTTTTACTTTGTTCCTGGTCACCATATGAATCCAATTTTAATAAGTGTATCAGACATAACATCATTAAAAAAACATTCTATATTGGCTTGCATTGTACGTATGAAGCAAGGGATAAAATTTGGTACACTAGCCTAGCCGTTTATACATATAACCTCTAGTGAGTCCAGACTGGCAACAATATACATGTATTTCTCTGTTATAACATATGACAATGATTTTCTGAGTGCTGTGATGTCTAAGTATACGTCATCTATAAAAGATTTATCTTGTTATGTAAGAGAAAGTGACCCTTTTCAGACCTAAATATACCCATGCTATAAATGAATTCTAGCATTCATTTTAGTTTTTATTTGAGGCATATCTTTTTTGATAAATTTCTGTGGGCAAATTAGAAATAGAACATTTATTAAATACTTAAATATCTGGTTAAATTCAGGAGCTCTGAGAAAAAAACCTACCATTATCTTTTCTGACAATAAATGCTGACTTGATTTATTTATTTTTCTCCCATTTATTATGAACTGTAAGACCGAAAGGAATTGTTATCTTCTTTTGTACAAACAGTCTAAGAGCATAATCATTAATTTTTAGTTAGGCACATCTCTTTGTAAAAACATTCTATATGGCCAATAGGTTGTTAGACTCCTGGAAGATTGCAGCTTGCTTAATTATTTATATTTAGGCAAAGATTTTTAACAGGTTGCAAATGTTTGTATCTTAAAGCCTTCCCAGGCATGAACACTGCTCAGCAAGAGACCTTGTGTTCAGAAATACCGTATAACCCAAAATATTAATCTAACCAGAGGAAATGGTGGGAACCGGCTGTGCATGCATTTAAATATTTTCAGGGAGGGCTTTTTTGAGGGGGAGGCTTATTTTAGCACATGCGCTCAAAAGCCCGATTGAGCTTATTATCAGGGGGTGTCTTATTTTAGGGGAAACAGGGTATGCAAATATGTATTACAGCTAAATAATGTTTTGATGATTTGTACTATTTTTGTGAAGTAGTATTGTGCTTTTGCTGTCCAGTTTAGAGCTTCCAAATCACTTTCCCTCAGTTTGCTTAGCCATTAACATTTAATCGATTTTTAAACCAGTCTGTAGGACATGATTAGGCAGAGTCTGGGTCAAACACATCAGTTTGGAGTTGCTATGGTTCCACCAGAGAGTCCAGCCTCCCGTGAACTCTGTTGACTCTTATCTACCACCAATTTTTCCTTGACCATTCTGAGATCAGACTCTTGGGTATAGATAGCATGTAATAAACTTGAAATGCTTTGAACTAAACTCCTGTTCCTGGTTACTTGTGCCCAACATAGACTACCTAAATTTGGGAAGTCTTTGTCTACTGAGTTGTCTTTTCTACTCTTGGACAGAAACACTGTCTATACTGAAGGATAATTGTATAATTTACAGATTCACAATGATCCATATTTTCCCCTTCATTAGAATTCAATATTTAAATTAAGAAAATACATGCATACACCTGCTTGATGGGAATTTTGTGTCAAATTCTGCAACCTGCTAAAGTACTAAAGTGCTAAAGCCTGATTTTCTGAGACTTGGAATTATTTTTCCTTCTTCTTGTGTATTTGGCTTTTACTACTGTAGGCATTGCTTCACATTTCATGTATTTTTTGGTAGTCTTAAGAACAAGGAACCTTGAAAAGAAATGTGTATGTGTCTCTGTGTGTGTGTGTGTGTGTGTGTGTGTGTATTTGAAAGGTGGAAATCAACATAGAATGAGGTGTATGACAAGGCGATACAATATCACCTATCCTTTTCTCAGCCTGCCTTGAAGAAATATTTCGCAAACTAGTCTGGGCAAAAGATGGAATAAAAATCAATGGTGCCTATTTAAATCACTTATGATTTGCAGATGATATTGTTATCTTCTCATAAGACTCAGAAGAAACACAACAAGAGCTGCACAAGGCAGGAGAACCATTTGGCTTAAAAATATACACATACATATACATATACATATACATAATTTATATTTCGCTGATAAAGAAATAAAGGGAGACTAGTATAGATCTATTTCTATTGAGACATTAAGGTGTCTTGATAGAAAAACACTTAATCTCTCCCCTGGCTCAAGCTGATGAAGGGAGGAGAACTTGTGGCTCAGAGGTTAATGTACCAGGGGAGATTAAATGGGTTTTCTATCGAAGCAACCTAATCTACCCAAATATAGGAAGGAGCATACTGCTTCCTTTATATATATATGGAGAATTGCTAGAAATAGTAGACCAAGAAGATTGGATCAACCTATTCTCCAAAGCAACTAAAGGCAGTTCAAGAAGCAATGGATGGAAACTAATCAAGGAGGGAAGCAACCTAGAATTAACTAAGTGTGGGAGTAGGAATGGATTTCCAGAGCGAAAAAAAAAATGCAGACTACAGGAACCAGCAGCATTACTCAGGTGACCCTGAGGATAAACCTTCAAGTGCTTCAATGACCCTCTAAAACACAGATGTCAAACTTACTGTGTCATGTTGCCATCACATGACGTTTTGTGATGTTTTTCCCATTCGTGGAGCTGAGGTGGGTGTGGCTTGCAGGCTACCAGTTTGACACCCCTGCTCTAAAAGGATGCAAATGACCAGCTGTTTGCAAGGAATATAAATCCTTCTTGGATGAGAAGCGAAACATCTTCAAAGAAAAACAAGAAAGTCCAGTTGCCTCCTGAAAAACCATCTTTGGGACAACCATGATCTGGATGACTGAGAATCTCTACAAACCTAGAATTAAGGAGAAATTTCCTGACAGTTAGAACAATTAATCAGCAGAACACTTGACCAATGGATCTCAATGGAAGGTGATACAATAAAGGAAATGGAACGAGTGGCACAAAGAGCTATGGAAAGATACATGCTTGGCATTACAAGACAAGATAGAAAGACCTGCACATGGATTAGAGAACAAACAAAAGTGTACAATACAATCAAGAGTGTAAAAGAATTGAAATGAAAATGGACTAGTCACATAAAAAGAAGAGCTGATGGCAGGTGGACCAATGCAGTCATAGAATGGATTCCACTTGACAAAAAGCGTCTACAAAAGAGACCTAAAACAAGATGGATCGATGGCATCAGCAAGTATTGCAGGCCCAATTGGCAAAAGAAAGCTCAGGTCCATGTGGATTGGAAACATGGGGTAGGGGCCTTCATCCTGCAGTGATAGACAATGGCTAAAATGATGATAAATGATGGTAGATATATTCATTAAACTAAAAATCTTGTTAAAATCTTTTTCTTTATACATCTTCCTGAAATGCAAGCATTGTGACATAGCTATTTTTAAAAAGTCAGCCTAGAAAATTGTGTCATTCTCTGTGAAAACAAGATTTTTCTAGGATTTGACCCTAATCTCCTGGATTCTGCACAGCTTTCACTGTTGATCTACTCAGTTCTTCCCTGGTGTTGTTCCATCATAATATCTGAATATCTCCAAATTTGTGCTCATTCTCCAAGTGTGGCTATTGATGGTTGGGTGCTCTTCTAATTCTCAACAAATGTTCTTGTACTTTACTCATATGGCAATGAAATCAAATATCTGTTAGAACTTTATCCAGGGCAAAGAAATAAATTTTCTAAAAACTTAGCCAGCAGTCAAGAGGTAACAAGATCAAGGACAAATCTCTGATAAATACATTACTTTTATTACCTATGCTGTCTCCTTTATCAAAGTCAGCTACTCTGGAATCAAGTCCACTATTTATATTATGGTTTAAAGTGTACATCTCTTTCTCTCAACTATATGTGGTAATAGACTTCTTGCTGCTTGCCTTATGCTTTGATAATAGTCCTGTCTAGTCTTGGGCTTTTTGCTTCTGATCTTGCCAGCTTCACGAAGTCATCAGCAGATCTGCTGTGCCTTTACAGAGACATCATTATTGCCTTGGGCAGCTCTCCTATTCATTAACCTGAGATGATGCAGAAGTTTCTGAGAAACCGTGTCATCTGTGCAGATCAATCTTTTTGGCCAAGAGGCTGTAGTGCTACAAAGCATGACAGACATTTTGGGGCTAGATATTTCTCTAACAGAGCCCTAACAAAGCTCCTAACAGCAGAGAAGATCCTCTACTTAAATATTTCAAATGCTGGCATGAAAGAGTCTTACAGTTTTTACCCTGATAGGTATTCTTGATGGCTGAATGTACAATCTCCTGCTGTCAGAAGAGAGGAAGGGATGGAATAGGAGAAAGGAAGCAGCCAAAATTGATATGCAGCATTGAGGGCCCCTGCATTTAGAGGCACAGATTGTAAGCAATCAGGCTAAATGAAATTCTCAGACCCAGGCCTTATCTTCCTAGATAACCCTCATTCATCCTGTGAGTTTCTGAGGACAAAAAAAAAAAAAATAGAAATGAATGGATTCATTTGTGCTGCCTGAATAGAATGCTAATGAAAGGAGGTAGGGAAAAAATTATTTGTGCCGTGCAGCTGAAAAGACAGCACTTCCTGACTTTCCCTGTTACTACTGCAACAAGTGACTGGCAGCCTAGTAAGGGCAAAGCAAGGGAATATTTTGTAACTGAAAAGAAAAAGACAAGAAAGATGCCTTCCCAGGAAAAGAAAACAATGTTCTTTAGATGCATGGCATACAACCAGATAGAGACCCCTACTGTAACATGGAAGCCAGAAAGAACAGCCTTTATATCTCAAATTAACTATTCCTCATGGGTGAAGCCATGTTGTCTTGGTAAGTTTTATGGACATTTTTCAAGACTTTGCCTAGTTGAAATGTAGTTGAAATGCATGGGTGGGTGTTTTGTGCTGTTTGTATAGTTGGAAAACGTTTGAAAAAACAGTGGACCAATGGATGGTATGGCTACTTTCTGTGCCTAGAGTGTAAATTTCTACTCAGAAGTAAACTTTATTGAATTCAGTGAGGCTTAGTATAAGCAAGTATGCAGAGATATACATGCAGCCTTAATCGTTCTTGTCATTGTAATGACCATTGGTTTTATAAACGTAGCTTGAATTAAAACATATTTCTAAATTATTCTTCCTCTTGGTATCAAAAGCTCATAAATCTTGATGCAATTGCTTACATTTTGGGGGTGGGATTTTGGATCTTATTAGTTTTATTGTTTTCTGGGTTTTTTAAATAATTCAGTTTAGTTTCATCTTCTTTGAACTAAAATGGTGTAAAGTGGTGTACTATTAAAAATACAAATAAGGGAAAATATAATTCATATCAAAATACAGAAAAATCTTGTAGATATAGAAACTATATTAATTCAGCTATATTTTTTTAAAGGAATTTGTTTATTTTCTCTGATAGATGTATGTTGATATGTGTATGAATTGTCACATGCATATTCATGCTATTTGCAGCTTAACATGTATTTATATTAAATACCAGAAGTAGATATTCAATATTATTCAAGATTTTTCAGTATTTGCAATGATATTTTTATGCAATCTAATTATTGCTTTCTAGAAGAATTGTCTGCAGGACACAGGATCTGCTATGCGTTTTTTTGGAAAACAATGTTATTCATGAATTTTGTTTTTCCAGTGGCAAAAAAGACAGATGCTGGGGCTGTGAGACACAAAACAGTAGGAAAGAGCAATGCTAAACATCCATCTCCATTAGTCAGGGTGGAAAAAAATCCTGAAAGTTTTGATTTGTTAGTCAACATTAGATAAATGGTTAACATTTTCCATATGCCTTGGTACAGCAAAGACAATGATCTCAAAATGTAAATAATGGCTTTGCATTAATTTAGTATATAACTCACATGCCAACTTGCAAAATAGATTTCACTCCATTAAAAAGAAAAGATTGAAATGAATAACTCCCAAATAAGAAGATAAATGGAGACAGGCCTAATTATCTTTTGCGATAACACCCTTAGCATGCAGCATGCTTAAAATTTGCTTATTTTCACTCAGCTTTTATGATCTATGATAATCTTATTCATATTTTTAAAAAACACCATTTGTTTTTATATGGATGGCTGTATTTGGAGAGTGGGAATTCTCCTAATCCTGACTAAGTTCTGTGGGATGAAGGAACGGGAACATGAAGCAATCATAAACAAAACTACTGTATGTGTGCCTTGCATGTTATTTGTGTTATGTATCGAATAGATTTTGAATTAGTTTGTCTTACATTATGGATAATGTGGAAAGGTGGTACTTTATAATAGAGTCCTACAATTGAAATGTTTGAGTGGATTTAGTTACTTTTGGTAAAGTGCCTAGTTTATTTCCTTTAGGATAAGGGGGGGAAAGTATACAATAAAACATAAAGCAGAAAACATTTGGCACATAAGAAACAAGTTCTATTATTAGCAATTACAAATAGGCTAAGAAGGATGAGCAAAAGGTTTCAAATTTTAAAACTGGCAACACTTTTTAGAACAATTAATTTGAGCTTCATTGGATTGTTTTGATTACTTTGAATGGTTATTTAAATATTGAAACACTCCCAGAAACAACTGTTTTCAGTTTAACATGTTTTGAGCTTGAAAGATTAACAGTTCAAATTATTTTATACATCATTAGTGAATAGGATGGTTATTGAAAATGTGAGAAAGTTACTTCTCACAGATCAGATGGAAAATGATTACTGTATAATATAGCCCCTTACCCTGTTTTATTAGAGATGTCAGCTCTTCAAAATAGACCTGGTCAGGAAACAGACACCACTAGAACAACTATAATGGTACTTTTTAAATCATAGAATCTTGAAAGCCTGACTTAGTCTGACTTAGGCCTGATTCCTTTTTCTCTGGACAAGCATGAGTAATTTCCTCACCTTCTCCTGTCTGTCATAGTTTAGCTGATATTCACATAAAGGTTGTGAATTCTTTTTGAAGGCCAGCTTTGTACTCCTCTACAGACAGCAAGTACTGAACTAAATTTTTTATTTATTTAATCATATCTATATAGAAAAACATAACCCTGCATGGCATACAATCAAAACAATCCATACAACATTCCACAATTAAAAACATCACTATTATTGAAAGACCAGGAGAGAGCCTATTCAGTGTTACAGGCAATCTAACTACCTCACTAGTTCAGGATTCACTTTATATTCTTGTTTGGATTAGATGACCATGTTGCGGTGATATTCATTTAACTGTAATCATATTATAGAAATAGAATTATTTCTTACTTTCTTTAATGCTATTTTTATGACAATGGTCAGAGGTCAATTCTTTATGCTGATTTTATTTGGTATTTTAGTACCTTTACGTATGGTCAATCATGACATTCTACTGAATTGCCTGTAGGTCCTTGCAAAAAAACTTTCCTTTTTGGTAGGTGAAGTAAGAAATTCTCCATTTTCATAAAAGCAAACACCATGAAGCACAGTTAATTATGCATTTCAAGAGTGTTCATACTTTTGAAAAGTTTGTAAATAAACATATATGGATGCTATGTCTTCTCTACATACTTTTAAAAAGAGATTTTAACTTTCACATGACAGGGTTGATTTTATGCCCCTTTTGGAATTTAAACTATTAGTTTTCCAAGGCCTCCTTTAAAGTAATGATGAAGTTTATTGTATTGAGAAAAATATCCTGATGCTTCCCAATTATGATAGGAAAATAACTGAAAAATTAAATGTAGCTTGCTCCATTAGCAGCATTCCCTGGTTGCCAACCAGGGAATGCCAAGGTTGGCTGGCTGGTTGGGGCTTTGTCCCTTGAATTAAGACAGGAAAGGGCCCTGGAGGAGATTTCTGGGAAATGTAGTTCCCAGCGGGAGGAGTAAAATCAGAGTGCTGGGAGTAGGAGGGCAGAATTGACCAGCTGAGGACTGAGAGAGAATGAAAAGGAAGCTGCTAGGAGGAAAAGAGGCTACACTCCTTTGGAAAGAGAGAAAGATTGTCACCCCAAGGAAGAAAGGATGTCCATATCTTGACCTAGAGACTGTATTCTGGCTGTCATGAGAGGAAAACTCCATAGGCCTCTCACTGGGCCTGCAGAGGCCGTGTTTATGAGGCAACAGGTTTAGTGAGGGGCCATTTGGCCAAAGAGGACAGTCTTTGGGTCATTTTTAGCTTGAGCAACATTGCTCACCATCAGATTTAGTGTTTTATATTATTGTGTTGTTTAATCTGATTTTATCTTAATGGACATTTTTAATTAAAGCCCATAACTCCCTCCAATGTGTTAAAGGGATGGAAGGGCCCAATTGCTAGCGGCCCTTTCGGGGGCAGCACTACATAAATACGGTAATATAAGAATGGAACTTGTCCATTGCAAATCCCTCACAATTTGTTAATACTGGGGGGGAGGGTGTTTTTTGTTTTTTTTTTGGTATCTTTTTGCCCAAAGTAGTTTAATGGTAGTTTACAAATGTAACTTATATGATAGATGACAGGAGTTGCACGTTTGGATGTTGTACATTGCCTTCTCCTGGTCTGTGATGTAACTTAATAGCGAATAGTATTAGAATTTAGTAAATTGTTGCTATTTCAAGTGGAAGTATGACCCAGAGGCCTTAAGACTTTATTGTATGAAAAAATCTATTCGTGCTGCCTCTGAATTAAGTACAAAGTGAAAATATAGTATATCAAAATCCCTTACAGAAAAATAAGATATGTTTTTTTTCAGGTAGCAGGAGCAAGACTTAACTTGTGAGAGGTTGGAATTGGCCCTGCTTGGTGCAGGAGTAATAAAACCTGACCACATTCCTGATTTGAATTGCTTGCTCATTATGTAGGGTTGGTAGTAGAGACCATGCAAAAAGAAGCTATCAGAAGAACTTTGTGATGTGACAGTATAGACAGGGAAATTATTTGTTTTCTATTGCAGTTGATTCTATCTAGAGCATTATTTAGTCTTTTGGCAGTCAGTTTTTGCTGAGGAAACAGTAAGAAGGTCAGAATCAATGAGAATAGATGGGAGTCGTAAAAAATGAAATATGTATTCTTGAAACACAACATATTGCTGCATCTAAAATTGTAAATGCTGCTTGTGTAATTATGATAAAACAAGCTTACTGGTTATCTCTTACTCATCTCTCTCTCTTTCTGTTAAGTAGTGTTTTTCTTTCTCACACTACTTATTCTATGATTTTTTGGAGATTTTATTAAAAAAGAGCAATATGTAACTTCCTGAAAATGGTTTAAATTTATCAGCACTATATGTAAATATTTTTGTGGGGTTTTTTCCTAAATAGTTTAATTAATCCTTGTAATTAATTTCATCTCTGGTTTTTCATTTTTGTTCTCATTTTTATGTCTGTTGTTTCTATTGGCTGCTGGACGACTTTGAATTTAGCAGAAGCAAGAATTTCAAAGAATTTCTTAAAAAATTTTGCTGCTCCGGTGTTTGACATTGTACAAGTCTCATTGGTCTAGATTTCTTTTCTGTACCTTGCATATTGTAGACAGAATTTAATCAGGGCCCTTGGTGTTTTAAAATACTTCAGAATATTTTCTTTAGCAAATTAGAATAAATTCAGCACCAGTGTCTGACACAGTGATCAAAAGTAATTGCCTACAATTTCACACCCACGAGATCTTTAACTGACTTCAAAATTCCTCATATTCTGGACATTTCAGTTTCATTATCATAGAATTCTTCTCTCAGAGCAGCAATCAAGCTTTTAATGCAACCGAATATAAAGGTATATACTTGAGTTTATAAATATGTAGTGTATATATAGAGAGATATAGATATATAAATACATGAGAAATTAGACATGCAGATATAAAACACCAGAATAATCAAG